CTTTGGTGGCGGGACCGCAGACAAAACCCCAAACTCACCTCCTGGCGAGCTGCTGAAAGGGTTACTGGGGGACAGCGCAGCGGGCTGCTGGGAAGTGGAGCTGGAGCTGAATGGGTTCGGGAAATCTAACACACACGTGGGGGGGGGGCAGTGGGAAGAAAAGATAATTGACAGTGTGTGGGGTGAACAGACTCCATGCCACACCATTCAGCACAACACTGCCTTGAGACACACTCCCCCCGCCCCCTCCCCCCAAAAAAACACCAACAACACCAAAAAAGTCTCATTAAAATTCTCTCTCTGGCGCGCACACTGCCACAAAGACGGCCGCAAAGTTTGCCGGCTGAGTGCAGTTTGCACCGGATTGCCACACTTGGCAAAGTGGAGATGCTGACTTTGCGCCAAAAACAGCGTGGCAAGAGTTCGAGGTCCTGCCAAGCAATCAGCGTTTCACCATCTGCACGTGCTTCGTGAAGCCGACGTTTTCTGCCTGCTCCATTTTTATCTTTCTCAAACAGGCCCGCCTTCAAGAAGCAACCTTGCGTAAAGCGTGTTGTAACTGTTGATGCTGGGCAGACATTTTATCAAGACTAAGACTGTGTCCAAATTCACAGGGCAGGCCCTCCCGAAGGCCGCTTGAGGTCATTTGCGGTAAGACTCCAGGAAGCCTGCGCAAATTCACCAGGGTTGATGCGGCCCGCGGAGGCCTCGTCCGAGGACCCGGCCTGCAAATGGTCTTTGTAGAATTCGGAAAGCACGTGCGGTCGAGTCACGCCGGAAGTGGCGTCGCGCCAGAAGAATCATGCGGCCGAAACCGTGGCCTTCGGACACAAAACAACGTCACATCAAAACAATGTTACATAAACGTGTGGATTTGGTAGGACGATTAATTGTTCGACTGAAAAAATACGCCTTGACGGGAGGCTACTTGCCGAAAAAAAATATATATAATAATAATAATAATACGCCAGGACAAACTGATCCGAGACTACACACGAAAGGGTAAAAGCCAATCAAGTCAACTTTTGAAATAGAGCAAGAGAAGCACAATCATACTCTTGCCCATGAGGCGCAATCGAGGATGGCCACCAAAAGCACATATTCAAAACCCAAACGAAAAAAAACACCCCTGAGGCCACAAGCTCAAAGTCGCAGGCAAATCAATCACTGAAAGCTCACAAAAACATCACCACATATTACTCCGCGAGATGGCGCCTGATTGACAGTCATTTCTTTGGCCCGAGCACAACGAGAGAACATCGGTGAATAATGAGGATTGGTTTGAAAAAAATCAAAATAAAGAATCAAAACATATGTTCAGCTTACTTGCAAATGTTTGCGAATTGGACACTGTATCAAGACCCGGAGAGCTGCTGGGAGAAGAAGCGACAATTTCAGAGCTTCAGAAAACGGCACAGACCAAATCTAAGTTCTGAAAAAAGTTTGAAAATGAACCACCTGGCAGGAGTGGAGCCAGAAGAGAGCCGGCTGCCAAACAGGGTGCCATACTGCGCGAGCCCAGCAGGGGGGGCTGCGAACAAACATTTCACACAGACATGTTCACTTAAAACCGCACGAGAAAAACCGCGTTCGAATCCAAGACTGAAATAAGAGCGAGGGGGGGCAAAATATGTGGTGTAACCGAGCCATCAAACAAGTTCTCCTCTTCCCCAACACACAAACACACACAAAATCTGCCTTGGCCGATTTTAAACCGATTAAAACGAGTCAAGGGGCTCCTTGGAAGCCAACCGCGCGTGGTGCGGCGCAAACACAATGAGCGTAATTCAGCGGCTAACGGCCTTGGCATTTGCTGAAAGAACATTACGCAACCTTTCCGAGCGGGCTGTGAAAATGTGGATCGCACGCTGCACGCCGATTCCACTGCAATTGTTTATAGAGCCATTCATTATGGCTTGTTTATAACAGCCCTCCAATATGGCCGCCGGTAGTGCATTGTGGGTAATTGCTAAAAGGACGGAGCCCTCTATTCAAGCCAACCTGCCGACAGGAGCGCTACAAAAACAAAGCCACGGTGGATTTTTGCCTTGACTGTAATACAGTCCCCGCTGAAGACTCACGCAAACGAATTGGTCATCACTTATGGGGCGGGGGGGCGGAGGGGGGCGTACATAGCGAAGTGGGGTGTGAACAACCAGCATTGGAAAGTGGCATACCTGTTTCCGAGAAGACGCTGTCCAGGTGGGACACCGCGGCGTACCTGTCCGGGGCGTCGCCAGTGGTTTGCTGCTGATGGGACAGAGACTGAGGATGAGGAGGCTGCGGCTGTTTCAGACTGCCAAAGTCCAAGCTGAGAGATTTGGGAAAGGCCCTGAAGGGCCCCGTGGCGCCTGACGATGATGAGGCGCGACCTGGGACCACACGCACACACGCACACACACACAAAAAGAAACCCCAGACGAACAACATCAAAAACTCACATGCCCAAATGAACGGCAACAAAACCACAAGTTGCTTCTTAGTAATCTCACGCTTTCATGCTGTAAGAGATATTGAGGGCTCACTCCAAAGACTAAAAAGAAAAAAGAAAGCGCAGGCATGCTGCTGGGTCATATCGACACCCAAAAAAAAAAAGAAAGATCGGAAAGGTTAGCATTTTGGTGAGCGGCAGCCGTTAGCCACAGAGAATGCTAGCAACCGAGAAAGCCGGTCTTTTTTTTTTTCCCCTTCAAAATTGTGACAGTATTTCACACAATGAGCAAAACTCTCTTGCCTATAAAGCAAGCTCCAATGACTAAAAAGAAAAAAGAAAGCGCAGACTTGCTACTGGGTCATATCGACACCCAAAAAAAAAGAAAGATCGGAAAGGTTAGCATTTTGGTGAGCGGCAGCCGTTAGCCACAGAGAATGCTAGCGGCCGAGAAAGCCGGTCTTTTTTTTTTTTTCCCTTCAAAATTGTGACAGTATTTCACACAATGAGCAAAACTCTCTTGCCTATAAAGCAACTTGACATAAAAGACTGTCTCGCTTGGATAAAGTGCGCAAGCGCCTGGCTGCTGATGTGTTGAATGCGTACGGTGCGACGAGGCGTCATTGTCATGATCATTATTTTACTTTCTGTTTGTGTTTTATGTTGTGTGTTGTGTTTATTATTTTACTTTATGTTCACTATTTTGTTCAGCGCTTTGTTACAGCTGCCGCTGTTGTGAAAGCGCTGTATAAATCAGCATGTATTGTATTGTATTGTATTGTCGAAAGAAGGACTACCTTGGGAAAAGCCAACGTGTACCCGTGCACGCTGTGGGATTGCAGTCACAAAGTGAAACCGAAAGCTTCTCGCTCGGTAGTTTCAGCACACAAACGCCGATGCAAGCAACAGGAAAAAAAAAGATCGACATCTCATCAGCGTCTGAGCGGGCCGCAAGCGTGAGCCACACGGCACGCTAGCAGCTGAGAAGGCAAGCCCCTTTTTTTTTTCCCCCTGAACGGTGACAGTTTCGTGAGAACAATTCGTCCAACTCTTGAAATCATCATGAAATAACACAATCTCGCCGATAGAAAAAGTGCTGAACCGTTGAATACGCCCGACTAGCCAGAGTTGTCGCCATCTGGGCTGTTTTGGGGAAACCCAAAGTGTCGGCGCTGCGCCCCAACGTGTTTTATTTTTAAGAGCTTTGATGCGGAGTGAAATATCAGCATGCCGCCGCTGCCCGTGGTCAGCGGCCTCCTAAAAATAGCAAAGTGAGGACTCGTCAGATGGCAGCGGCACGGGAGAAGGAGCTGACGCACATTGGGCATATCGCAAATGCGCCGGTGGGACGAGGGGGGGGTCGGACCTAACGTGAAGTGTTTTTTTCAAAGAACGACCGGCTACAAAGTCACGAGACGCAGAAAGGGGATGTTCGTCTTGAAAGGACACGTCAAAGAGGGGGCAGAAAGCAGTTGGGGGCGCCCACCTGAAGGCCGGGGGAGGGCAGGGAAGGAAGAACCGTGAGCTGAAGACAACGAGCCCGGGCGCTGTCTCTCAATCCCGCAGACGTTGTGCTCTACAGGCGAGAAAAAAAAAAAAAAAAGCCGACGACAACAACACGCGAGGGAAATGTTTTGATCGGATCGCGGCTCAAAACGGTGCGGCCGGCGACGATACCTCTCAGCGGCGGGTCCCGGAAGCTTTGTGTGGCCGTGCGGACACAAAGATATGAGAAGCGGCGCGGCGTCGCGACCGCCGACAGCGAGCGTAGAGCTCTCACCAGCGTCCGGGCGGGCCGGGCGTTGGGGGGCAAGCTGTGAGGGGGCTGGCCGGCCAGCGGACCGTGATGGAGGGCGGTCTGGACGCCGGGGCTCCAGGGTCCCTCCACATCTCGCCGGTTCTTACTCTTGGAAAAATGCCTGCGAGACAAGGGAGGAAGGTGGCGGGACGGGACCATTCGTCAGCGTGGTCTTCGTGGGGACACGTTCCGGCAAAACCACTTGAAGGGGGCGTCACCCGGCTCGCGGCGACCCCCATACCACTTCTCCGAGCGGGAAGCGTCCGATTCAAATCCTCCGCGTGCCACGGCGACGCTGTGGCACGGCGCCGGGGCGTCGGCTCACCATTTCTTCTTCTCGTATTTGTCCTGCAGGAACTCTTTGAACTTCTGCGAGTCCTTCATGTCCGGGCAGGCGTCCGTTTTGGCCTCCAAGGCGCACAGCCACGTCCTCCTGCCGACCTGTTGCACAAAGGGAACACGGCGGGAGGGAGCCACCGAGTCAGCCGCTTAACTCATTCACTCCCAAAGACGTTTTTCAACGTCTTTTCCGACTTGGTCTAGAATTGGCTGGTACTGAATGACTTAAGAGCCTTCCCCAACGGAAGCGCTCTCTCTACGGAAAGGCGTCTTGGTTGCTTGTTTCGGCAATGCGCGGCTAGCTCATATGACCATCTGGGGTGTTTGTTTTTTTTTTTGGAGGGGGGGGGGACAATAAAGATGATTTTGATTCCGAGTCACGTGACCTCCACGGGGGCCCTCAGGAATCAACGCTGCCGTAGTGACGTGCTCGAGGGCGCCACTTAACCGGCAAGCCACAAGTTTTGAGAATCGTTTGTGTGGGACCAATGTAAGAAGGAACTGCCTCACTTTGGATTATTTGGTGGAACAACTAACTGCATTTGACGCGAGAAGAACTGTCGTCAAGGGTCAAAGAAAGCTCAAACCATGGATGGTACTTTGAAAGCGCAACGATTTGGCTTCAATACACTCCCACTTTTCAGTGAAAAGCAATTTTGCCATTCAAATCAGCTTTTGTGACGCGCGAGTGTCAATGGCCGTTTTTGAACTCGCAACCTTTCCTGTGGAACCTCTTTGCTCACACATATTTGCGTCTTTCTGTCCAGCCTTCGGACAGGACGCCGCCCCCAATGTTAATACTCCTGCACACGTCTTCTTTATCCTCTACAAAGCGGACTCATATAACGGCGGCGAGTATATTCCCCCCACACCCCTACCGATACACTTCCAAGACGTTTTCAAAATGCCTTGTGTGTTTTATCGGGTTTCCGAATTTATGCCGGCTGCCCGCAATCGACGCCCGCGTTCATCATCGGCCACGATCCCGTGGACGGGGCCGGCGCAGGACGGGACGGTCTGCCGCTTCTTTCTTTTGCGCCTCGCTCACCTCGTTGCCGTGGTTTTGAAGGAATTCCACTTCCTGTTGGGAGAAGGTCGTCATGGAGATGGACTTGACCCTGTGCGGCGGGTTGAGGCCTCGCCTGCGGAGGAGATGGCGAGCGTTTAAAAACAACAACAAAACAAGCACGTGGCGTGTGTAGCGGCACTGTCAAGGGACGGGGGAGGCTGACCTTTGTTTACGGCCCAATTGTTTGGTCGAATTTTGGGACGTCGCTGTTGGGAACGCTTGCAAAACTGCCAAGTCAAAGTGTCATTCAAGTCGCGACATAAACTGCCTTTCAAATTCATTCGCCTTTGTTTTAAGCCTGACTCGCAAGAACAAAACATTCAGGTCCACAAATTTCTTGGCTTTATCGTTTATTAATTTGCTCGTGTTGGCTAAAAAAATACATGGTAGTTTTGCCTCACTGGTAACATGTAGTTGTCCACTGGTGTGCAGAAATGTCACATACAGTTGTAAATATGCTCGGAAGGCATTTGAACTGAAATCAGAGTGTACTTGTCCATGACCCCGAACTGGATATATCCAGGACACTGAATGCACGCTCCCACTTTCCTTCATCTCGTGCTGAGCGGTCTCACGGGCAGGGACACGAAGACACGAGGTGACACGAGGTGACGACTGAGGAAAAACTGCACAAGTCCGAGGTAGGCCTTTTGTGCGAGAAGCACGGCCGTCTCGACCTCACGGGTCTTGTGCATGGATGGGCTTCCGGCTGGACATGAAGGGGGTGGGTGGGCTATTGGGCTCGGTGCTCAAACGCAACAGGATTGGGCAACAACAAACAAGAGTGGCCTTCCCGTGGAGTGCTGCCAGGAGTGGGCTCAACATGCACTCTGCGGAGGAGACCAAACCTTGCACCCAACGACTCGTGGGGGTCGTTGGGGGGCGGTGGCGGAGAGCTCGTCAACATGCGCTGAAAGCGCGTCCCTCCCTCTCTTGCACCACCGTGTGCAAGCGTGCTGCAATCTCCCGGCCTGCCGCTCGATCCTCCACGATCGGCCCCACCGCCGCCCGCGAGAACCGCGATTCGAAGAGACAAGACGCAGGCTGCAGATGCTACTCACAGCATTCCGGAGCACGACGTGCACACGAAGGTGCCCACGGTCACGTCCGTGTACGTCACCCCGGGCTGGTTGCACTCGAAGCAGTGTTTGTTTACTCCGGACTGGGCCAGCTCGCGGACCTTGCGCGCGCAGATCTCCTGGTTGTCGCGGTGCTTGCGGTTCGACATCGTGGATCCGGAGGAGGGGCGGGGTGCGGGCGCTCGAGCCTCCGTCCGAGCTCCGTCCTTCCGGGCTCTCCGACTCCGCCAAAAAAACGCCGCATTGTGAGGCGAGGGGGGCGGGGGGTGGGGGCGGGCAGGGGTCGAGGGAAGCGGGCTGGTGCTTGGAGAGAGCGCCGCTCCGCTCTCTCTTCGCCCCGAATGCTAGAAAGTTAGACCGCGTAGGATGCGACGCGTACCGGAAATACGTCGACGTTCGCCAGAATAAAAGCGTTCCAGCGGACGGATGCCATTTTCAAAGGTGCGTATAGTTTGCGTATGTTGTTGAAATGGAGAAAAGAAAACCGTTGTAAAGCATAATATAATTGGATTCGTCCACCTCAACTCACCAACGGTATTTTTTAACACATATTTGGCTGCCCATAACAAATCATTTTCAATAAGAGGGTCACATTTGATTTGAACAACGTTCAAATTGGAATTTTTGCAGACGCCGTTTATTTTCGAGGGTAAATAAGAGTCACCTTGACGTCAACTAGTTTACATTCCGCCTGGAGACATCTACAATTCACACGAGTGCACCGTTATGTACTTTGTGCATATATTTTTGATATTTTGTGGGGAGATGAGCAAAAATATCCTCCAATTCCAGAATGACCCTTGTACAGTATTTTTTTTTCAGACCATAAAGCCAAAAATAATTGCTCTGCAAGCGCTTTGTTACAGCTGCAGCTTTTTGTGAAATCGCTCTATCAATAAAGATGGATTGTGTTGTATTTTATTGTACTTTTTGACAAGTCGTGCCTGCTTTTGGTCAGCAGATGGCGCTCTACACGACCGCGAGCTCGCAGTCACGTCCCTCTTCTTACTTCCGGGTGCGTGACGTCATTTGCGTGGCATTCAAAACACACCGCTGAAGTTCGTGTTTATATTGAGCGCAGTTCTCTTCATACTGCTGTCGCTGTCATTGAAAAGAAAAAGCTATCGACATGGAGGAAACAGAACATTAAAACAGTCTTTACATTCGTATTTTAGAGCATTTAAAAAGCATTTTCGACACGACATCATTTGACCGACCTGAAAAGCGATTGCACAGTCAACCGTACCTTAAAAATTGAAACTGGCTTTCGATGCGTATTTTGAGCATTAAAAAAAAAAACACTTTTCGACACGAGATTAACCCGAAAACAAATTCACAAAAATCGCCGGCCAATTCCTGTCATGTGACGCATCGAATTCCGGGATGCCTGACGGCAGTCGTGTGGCATTTAAGGCTCGACTTTAAAGTACGTGTTTTTAATTTTTTTTTGTTTGTGAGCGCGTGTTGTTTGTTTCTACACTGTGGGCGGTGTCGCGTGGGAAGAAAACTGGTTGCCAGACAAGAAAAACACACCCCAACGTGTGGCTGTGTGCTTGTGTTCCGATGACGCGTCAAACGTCCGCCGAGCTCAATCGCACACAGAAGCCGCACAAATCCAACAAGACCAACAATCCGCAGGACACGAAATGACAAAGTAAACCTTGCCAAGACGAAGTCGGACTTTTTTTTTTTTTACTTTTATTTTTGTTCAGTGTTTTTGCGCCCAAACGAAGAGGATTATGACTATTAAAGTGGACTTTGAGGAGTGTTTGAAAGACTCCCCACGCTTCAGGTAACACTTTCCTCCTCGTGATAGGAAAAAAAAAGGCTCTATTGGTAGATTCTAATCATGAGTATTATTATACAGTGTGTGTGACACACACAGAGAGAAAGAGAGCGAGAGAGAGAGACTTATGTATGTATGACGATTTGATACATAGCTCGACGCATGAGTACATGTGGTATGATTCAAGGACGGTACATTTTTAAAGTGGAACAATGTGATTCGCTCACATCTTTTAAATCACAACCAATTGTGCCATTCAAATGGATTTTTGACATGGCCCGAAGTTATAGTTTGGTGACATTTTTGTTTCAAAGGCCCTGATATTTTTCTGATGTCAAATATGGCTCCCGTGTGTAGTCATGAAGTCCTGTTTGATACTTTGCGCGCTAAATCATCAAGTGGGCGCATCTGTCAAGGCAAGTGGTGTCCCATGGCGCCTTTGCAAGCACGTCAGCCGGCGAGAGCGGTTTTTGGGCGTGCCCCGGCTTTGCTTTGAGTCAGTGTTGCGCCTTGCTGCTGACCTGGCATCTTTCAAAGTTGACCCGTCATCCGCACAGCCATCGGGCGCGGCAAACAAGACACGAAAAGCGGAGACCAAATCGGGGAAAAAAGCTGGGGGGCGGACATGGTCGCGTGGGCACGTTGTTACATCGGAAAGCGCAGCCTCGTGTTGCCAGGTGACGGTTGAGGTGAACAGGAAGCGGGCCGAGCGCCGCAGGAAGTGTCAAACCGCAATTTTGGGCCACTGGCGTCGACACAAGAAACAATCTCTCTACCGCTTGCCTCTTTCCCCATTTTGTACTTCCTCTACGTGTGTACTACCAACAAATACAAATCGCGCTCTATGGTCAATCGTAAATACTGTATCAAGACACGACAAAAAAGAGAATGGGAAGGAATGAACTGGTTGTACAATGTGTGATCCTGTAAATGGCAAGAGTGAGTCCCGTGCCTCTCTCTCTCTCTCCACTGTGCACAGCAGCTGCTGTGAGTCTGCCTTTTGCTTAGCTTACCTTCCCCCTCAAAATTCTGAAAAGATCGGGGGGTTTTCTACTTTGGGTAAAAAGTCATCCATCCACACGTTTTCTGATCCACTTCATCCTCACAAGGGCCGCGGGGGGTGCCGGAGCCTATACCAGCTGTCTTCGGGCAGGAGGCGGGGGGCACCCTGAACCCGTAGCCAGCCAATCGCAGGGTGCACACACACACAGACGAACAAGCATCTGCGCTCACTCTCACACCAACCAATTGTGAAAATCCATTTTTGGTCGGTAGCGTGGCTAAGCCGAGGTGCAGATTGGCTTCGCTCACGAGCGCTTCCCGCGTTAGCTTCTGCAGAAACGGCACATGCACGAGTTGCTGGCAAAGTTGTGAAAGTCGAGAGCTTATTTGGCCATTTGTCCGCTGGCTGCTCGGTAGCAAAGTGGAATCTGGCAGTTCGCTGGTGAAGTGCTGCCTCCGCGAATGAGAATCCGGCCATTCTTGACTGGGGGGGGGCGGGGTCCAATTAGCAAGCGCCATTCATTTGCCGGCTGGACGCAGACGGGGGTCAACATCTCCACAAGTCCAACGAGATGACAAAAAGCGTCTCGATTTGTCGCTCATCCACTTTTGGAGAAACGTCAATTTGCCTTTGTGGTCGTGTGTTTTGTTTCAGAGCTGAAATTGAGGCGGTCCAAGCTGACGTGGGCGAACTTGAGACGCGATTAGACAAGGTGAGATTGGTGTCAGTCAAATCCAAAACGGTCTCCATCATTTTCCAGATAAAAAGCTGGAAATGATCAAGACTGAAGGTGCAAGATGATAAGAATAAAGCCCAAAACTGTGTTTTCAACTCAGGAGGGATTGACTTCTTTTTCATCAGCCCCCCTCCAAAAAAAAAGTCTTGACCTTTCAAAAGTGCTCTGACGATGGGGCAAAAATGTTCTGGGAACATATTCAAGATTCAAGATGAGACATTTGTGATGAAAAGTCACTCAGATGTTTGTCACATCCAAGTCATTGTCCAAGTTAGCAAAGCTTCATCTTTCAGGTCCAAGTCCAGAATCAAGTCCGAAAACTGGATTTTCAAAGTCAAAGTCAAGTGGTTTTTAAAGATGAAAAGGCAGATGCCGCACAAACTCAAGTCGACAAAGTAGCATCTTGAGTGGAATATTTTTGCGCTTAAAAGGTGCAACATTCCCACATTTTACATTAGAGTAAAAAAAAACATTTTTTGAGCTGCAGAGTCGCACATCCAAATGACATTCATAATGTCAGAAGAATCAACTTGAAATCTTGGGAGAATTAAAGTTGTCTCATTTCATGATGGTCAGATTGTTGTTCAACTTTCACGAGGGCTAACGTGGATATTTTCCAGATCAAAGTTGTCTCTTTTCACAAATCAATGTCTTAGATGATCAAAGTGACGGCTTGCTTTTTGACTTGGAATTCAGAATATGAAGAGAATAAAGTCTTCGAGCTCAAAGCCCTCGGCCTGAAATTTGCCAACGGGCGCAAATACCGTGCGGCGCATCTGTGAGGCAGGGCTGCGCCGCTGAGGTGGTGGGGAAGGGGGGGGGGTCGCAGTCGAGTTTTCACGGCCAATCAGAGCCATTTCTTTTAAATGCGCCGAGTTAACGTCTTGACATGGCCGCGTGAAGCCATCGAGTCGGATATTTGGGAGATGGGACTGGATGGGGTTTTTTGTTTGTTTGTTTTTTTTGGGGGGGGGGGCGTGGGGGAGCTATTTCTCAGCACAAATCTACTGCCTCGTAGCTGGTGAAACAATGCCAGGCCATGTTGGAGGCCGGCCGAGCGTACTACCAGAGCAGCAAGAGCTTCGTGAGCGGGCTCCAGAGTCTGGGACAGCACTGCTCCGCCGACGCCACCGTGGGGGTGAGGCCGGCCGCTTATTCCGCTTATTATCCCAGCGCTCAACTCTGAAAGATTGTTTGCCAGCAAGTCCTGGTTTTCTTCTTTTTTTTTTTCCCCCCTTTGTTTTTGCAGGAATGCTTGCAGACATTCTCCCAGAAGCTGTCGCTCATCTTGGACGCGCAGGAGGTGAGCCGCTCGGCCCGCTTGTGGCGCTCGGCGCCTGCTGGCGGCGCTTCGAAGGAACGGCAGAGACGAATACTCGTCGTCGATGTCGCAGAGATGATAATGGCGAACGGATCGCACTTGATACTGGTCAAATTTCAACGTATTCTCGCTACATGACGAGTTTCCATTTTCATCTAGAAAAGGCCCGACTTGACGCTCACAACATTTCCCTATTTGCACTTCACTCCCAAATATCAACAGTTTTTGGAGCTCTTTTCTTAATTTCTCATTTTTTCGAATAAGACGACAACTTTTGAATCCGCAAGACATCCCAATTCCTCAAAATATTCCACGTTGCAGCTTTAATCTTGAAACAACCCCCCGCCCCAAATATCAACCTTTTCCCCTGTCATAATCGAATCCAGCAAATAGCCGCTTGAGTAATCCCACGGCTTTGTTCTCATCATATCATATCATCTGACCTTTGACCTGGAGAATATATCGTTTCGAACTTGAATCTTGAAAGCCGAAGACCCAGAAATGCAAATACAGTCAAACCTCGGTTTTCGAACGTCTCGGTTCTCGACCAATTCGGTTTTCAAACAAAAATTTCGAGTTTTTTATGCCTCGGATGACGAACAAATTTCGGTTCTTGAACAAACTGAGCGCACTTGAATGCACCACTTGACTCCTCTCGCCTTCCTTACACGAGCAAATGACGCTTCCTCGGGTAGACGAGCAAGTGACGCTTCCTCGTGTCGCTTTCCATTGTGAGCAGATGTGTTCAATCAACATTTTTTTTTTTTTTAAAAGAGCGTGGTTTCGGTTTTCGAACAATTTCGGTTTTCAAACAGCCTTCTGGAACGGATTATGGACGAAAACCGAGGTTTGACCGTACAAGACTTTGGGTCTTGTATCTGAAAATGTACTTGTATTTAAGAAAAAAAAAAAAGAAAGAAAACGCTCCTCATCATTTCCCACTTGCCCTTTCAGGAGGCGATCGAAATGACGCACAAGTCAGTCAAGACGAAGCTGCAGACTTTTGTGAAGGAGTGAGTGTCGGCCCAGCGAGTCGCGGCGGCGCCCGCGTCCTGCCCGCTCACCCCGTCTCCCCTTTCTTTGCGTTCTCTCGGCGCCCCTCCAGAGACGTGCGGCGCTTCAAGGATGCGCGCAAGGAGTTTGAGCGCAGCAGCGAATCCCTGGAGGGGGCGCTGGCGAGGAACGCTCAGGCGCCGCGCGGGAAACCTCACGAGGCGGAGGAGGCCGGCGGCGCGCTGCTCAACGCCCGCCGCTCCTTCAGATCCGGCGCCCTGGACTACGTCCTGGAGGTGAGCCGGCAGGCCTCGGGCCTCCCACCGCTTGGGAGCGGCGCCCAACCTCGCTCTTCGCTCTCTCTTTTGTCGCAGATCAACATCATCGAGGCCAAGAAGAAGACGGAACTGCTGACGGCCGTGAGTGAAGCCCAATCCCATTGCCCACCCTGGCTTTTTCGCCCCCCCAAAGTGTGCACATTTGCCTCTTTTGGAGGGCTCGGCCATCTGTCCAAAGGGCTTCCTTTGGGTCAGGTTCCGACGACGTTTCCTCCCCATTGCAACTTTTACCCCCCCCCCCCCAAACTCTCGTGTTCCCAGATGTTGTCGCTCATGGACGCCCAGGCCCAGTTGTTCCAGACCGGCTTCCGGTCCTTGTCGGAACTGGACCCTTATCGGCGAGAGCTGAGCGAAGAGGTGACTCTCCACTGCTTTCGTTTCAATCTGAGAAGTCAAATGTTGAAAAGCTGCAGTTTTAGCTGAGGAACAAAATGAAATCGCCGTCTCTTATGACCGTCATATTGAAAATAGAGCAAGAGCGTCCGCGTCAACTTGTCTTCTTGAGATTTTATCTTCAAAAGACTGATCTCCGCCCCCCCATCCAAAAAAAAAAAAAAAAACGTAATCAGTTTTTCCCTCTGATGTCCAAAGCATGACTTTTCGGCTTCAAAGTTGGCCCTCATGTGAAAGCAGACATCTCCCCCCGCTCCCCCGCATCATTCTGAATATGGAACAGTCACAACCGCTGCGTCTCCTCTTGCCTAGAATCTTCCGAACGCGGCCCCCGCTGGCTCCTTTGATTGCCTCGAGCGTGACGGGCGGCTTTGCTAGATTGCAGCCAGAGTCATTTAAAAAAAAAAAAAAAAAAAAAAAGCGCCACGCTCAGCATCGAGCGAGCGCGGGCGCCTGACGCGTGGCTCAGGAAGTCGCGAGCGACAACAGGAAATATTTCACGCGGCCTCGCCTGACGCTCTGCGCGCACGGCAAAAAGGCGGGATATGCGCCGGGTTCGTTTCCTGAAGTCCAACGCCGTCGGCGAAATGGGTTTTCTTGTTTGTACGATGGGAAGGAGAGTGAGCGGGAAGGCAAGAGCGGGTGAAGAACGAGGGCTTTGGCGAAAAGCGCCGCGTCACCGTCTGCGGGCCGGCAACCGTCTGCTCTTTCTTGTGTTTCCCCAGCAGAAGCAGTTTGTCCTGAATTCGGCCCGCGAGAAGCGAGACATGGAGCAGAGACACGCCGCCATTAAACAAAAGGTTTCCGACACATCCGCGGCGGGCGCCCTTTGCCACGCGCCAAACGGAGACGACCCCTCGCCAACGTTCAACTCGGCGTTTCCCCGCACGTCCACGCGCGTGGACGTGCGGGCATGCTGCCGCATTGCTCATGGGGGAACGCGTTTTTTTTTTTTTCTTCACATTTTTGGGTTGCGTCTTCCACATTCCGTTGACGTACTTTTCCTCCTCCCGCGATTCAAGATCGAGAGTCGCCTTCCCAAACATTTTGCAGCGTTGCGCACATTGCATGACCTTCCCGATCGAACGCGGATATTTTGACCTCTCCTCCTCCCGCATACATCACTCCATCGACTCAAGATTGGGGACACAGTCCCCGTCTTGCGTTTCCAAACCACTCCACCTTCAAATTGTTCCGCTCGTCGAGGGCACGCGAGTGTTTCTCACGTTCCCCGAATTGCTTCCGCTTGTTGGAACGGGCGTATTTCAGAATTGCGGCCCCACTGGGTTTTCTTTGCTTATTTATTTATTTTCAGTCTCACATTCGGCATGAATTGCACGCCGTATAAGTAGCGCGTCGGCGCTTTGCCGTTCCCGCGTCGTTTCGAAAGAAAGTCGAGTCTCCGAAGACGCAAAGCACACAAGGTTGGTTTGTCGCGTCGCCAGGACGTTTCCTACGACGACTCCATGATGGACTTCAATCCGGACGCCGCGGACGGGATTGCCATGGAGGGGTACCTCTACAAACGGGCCAGCAACGCCTTCAAGACCTGGAGCAGGTGTGATGCAACCCATACACCCCCCACACCCCAAAAAAAAAACAAACCTCGTCACCGGTCTTTTTTGTGTGGTCACGGTTTGCTCCCCCAGGCGCTGGTTCTCCATTCAGAATAATCAGCTGGTGTATCAGAAGAAATTGAAGGTAAAGTCCCAGAGGGCGGCGGCGTTGTGGCTCGGAGAAGGGCCGACGAACGGGACGCGGCCCAAAGGAGTCTTGCGGGTTTGAACGCGTCGTGTCCCTCAGGAGCAGCCCACGGTGGTGGTGGAGGACCTGCGCCTGTGCACGGTCAAGCCCAACGGCGAGAACGACAGGCGCTTCTGTTTCGAAGTGGTCTCCCCGTCCAAGTGAGTGTCGCCGCGGCCGGGCCACGGCGCGGCCGACGATAACGCCGTCGCAGAAGCTGTCTGTTGCAGGCCGACTCCGAGAGGCAGCAGCGGGCGTGGATCGGCGCCGTGCAGAACAGCATCGCCTCGGCCTTCCACGAGCCCCAACGCAGTCCGGTGAGGACGCGCGCGCGCATGCGCGGCCTTCGACACGCCTCCTTCCTCTCCCCGTTTCTCTCTCGCAGAGGCAGCGCCGCGGCTCGGTGTCGACGGGCGGCCCCGTCGACCGTCGGGAGGGCGAGGGCTCGGAGGCCCTGGAGAGGGTCCGGGCCGTCGCCGGGAACCGGCAGTGCTGCGACTGCGGGGCGCCGGCTCCCGACTGGGCTTCCATCAACCTGGGCATCACGCTGTGCATCGTGTGCTCGGGAATACACAGGTAGGCGCCGGGCGAGCGCCGGGCGAGCGCGCCGGCCCGATGTCAAGCTCCTCCCTCCCTTTCAGGAGCCTGGGGGTCCACTTCTCCAAAGTGCGCTCCCTTACCCTGGATTCCTGGGAGCCGGAACTCATCAAGGTAGCGCGCTCTTCTTCCGTGGTGGCAAAAGGCCGATTGGCGGGCGGGGGCGGGGCGTCATCCTTGTCTTTCTCGCAGTTGATGTGTGAACTGGGCAACGGCGTCATCAACGGCATCTACGAGGCCCGCATCGACGAGATCACCTTCAAGAAGCCCCTCGCCTCCAGTCCAAGGTGAGCGCCGGGCAAATGGAGAACCTCTCATGTTGTGGCCCCTTTTTGCATTGCGGGAACCGCGTCAGCGGGCGACGCGGGGCAGATTGCGGCCCGGCGCCTTTTCCTCAAAGCTCTCTCCCAACGCTTTCTTCGTCGGCATGCATTGAACTCGGCGAGGCTCCTCCGTGCGCTCTTTGTGGCGCGATTTGGTTTCGGCTTTTCTGTCGAGCCTCCTCTTGTGTCCTCACGTGTGACGGCGGGGGTGTGCTTCTTCGGTGACCCGCTTCCCCGGCGCCTTGTGTACTTTTGAGGCTGCTCCCTGACCTCCGAGACTTTGTCCGGAGCTCTCGACCGAGGGCGCCCTCGTGCTCATTTGCGAATACCCGGCGCTTTGAAGAGCCTCGCGCGGGTCTTCACTCGTCTCTCGGATCGGACTCAGATTGACAGCTTTTGTCGGTTCTTGACAGTCGCGGAGACTGGAAGGACGGAAACGGATTCCGAGGGAGGGTGCGCTTTGGACACGTGACCGGCTAAGATCGGCTTTGATGTTCTGTGGCCGTGCGCCGCAAGTCCACCTGCGGAAGCCTCGATTGCAACCGCCCTGTCGGGGAACAAATACAATTCGCGTCGTGTGACTTTTGCGCTGTCGAAATTCAACCTCGGCACACGATTGATTACGTGACAGCACTTCCTCATTTGGCCGCTCGCGCGGCAAACAGGAAGCGCAGAAAGTACACGGACTGACGAGGTGTTTAGCGTCGTGACCGCACGCTCACTTGCGTCGCGTGTCCCGCGCTCGTCCGTGTGAGTGGATTTCGTCACACAGTCAAAAGCGCTGACAAGCGCGTGTCCTCGTGTGTGGGCGCTCAGGGGCGACAAGGAGGCCTGGATTCGTTCCAAATATGTGGAGAAGAAGTTCATCCAAAAGCTGCCGGAGACGGGTCACAGCACCTTGCCGAAGCGTCCGGGCGCCAAGAGGAACAGGGCGGCCACGCAAGACCGCACGGCGCAGCGCCCGCCGCTCAAGCCCAAACCCAGCCGAAGCACTCTGCCTCGATCGGGTAACGTGCGCCCGGTAGGGAGCTCCGGTCACGGTGTCCGCCCCGTCACCGCTGTTGTCTCTCTCTTCTCAGCGTCAAGCTCGATGGAGGTTCAAAAGAACGACACGGGCTCCCGCGCAGGTCAGTACCCACGCGCAGCGCAAGCGCATGCTTGGGGGGGGGTCCGTAGAGGAAGGCGTGGCCCAAGCCCGGCTCACCATGACATCAACCTCCCCTCTGGGAAAATACGGCTTTTTCTCTCAAAAGATTTCTCATAAATATGCAACTCTCTTTTCCAGAGCATGCAACCTTTTTTTTAAGAAAATATCGTAACATGACTTTTTTTCTTCAACAAAATCTCTCACACACACAAAATTATGTGTTGTGTGTATATTCATTCATTCATTTTCTCAACCGCTTCATCCTCACAAGGGTCGCGGGGGTTGCTGGAGCCTCTCCCAGCTGTCTTTGGACAGTCGGCGGGGGACACCCTGAACCGGTTGCCAGCCAATCGCAGGGCACACAGAAACGAACAAGCATTCGCGTTCACACTCACACCTCGGGACATTTGATTTGACATCGGATTTGATTCGGTTTTTGATGACTCAGGGACACAGAGTAGATACTCTGATTATTGCAAGACATCGATCACAACTGACTCGGTCTCTTTCATTGGCTTCTTGTTGTACCTTACATTGATCAGCTAGCCGTTAGCATCTGTTCACTTCCATCGCTACCTTTCTCTGCATCATCTTGAGAAGTGGACCACTCTCCACAAGGCGACCAACGTCCCTCTCAGACCTCGACTGGAATCTTCCACCAAATTCCTGTTCGCTGCCACGACACACCGGCTGACAAGACAGCGAAATATTTGAGCTACTTGCTCCTTGTTTCTCGTTTTCTCAGGAACACTTATGCCTACTATGCTGATATGAGTGTTTTTTTTGTTTTGTTTTGGGGGTTTTTTGCGACTCACTGATCCAAGCTGTTTTTCTGTTTTGTTTTGCGTACCTTAGATGGAAATGACGAAGAGGAAGAGGATCTGAGCGCGCTTCACCCCGGGGCGCTGCTGTATCGCTCCGCGGCCCTGCAGAACTTCCCCGTCATGGCCGACGCGTTGGCCCACGGCGCCAACGTCAACTGGGTCAACGTGGCCGAGGAGGCCTGCACGCCGCTGATCCAGGCCGTCTCGATGGTGAGCCTTCCTCCGTCGACCGCCATTGGCGCCGACCGGCACCGCCATTGGCTCGTGAAGCCTTTTTTGTTCATTTCCTCTCCTGCTCCCAGAATGCCCTGGCCGCGTGCGAATTCCTGCTGCAGAACGGCGCTGACGTCAACCAGGCGGACAGAAATGGGAGAGCGCCACTTCATCATGCCACCATACTGGGTCACACGGGGTACACACACACACACACACACACACACACACACACACAAAATATATTAGACCGGATATAGCACCCAAAAACAGGAGACAAGCCTTGATCACAATCTTTTGCGTGCAAAATGCAGCACAGACGGGCTATTGTGGAAAGGAAATGACTCCGTGTGTGTGTCTGTGTGTGTGTGTGTGGGGGGGGGGGGAAACGGAAACACAAATACTTTCCTCCAGTGCTGAAGTCAATTTCTCAGTTAAAAGCGGTATGAAAGAATGGTTGAATGGATGTATCTGGACTTGCATTTTTATTTACTTTGCATTTTTATGATGTTGTATTTTTATTGCCTGTACCGAAGTCATTTTTACATTTGTTTTAAGAACAAATGAGATATTGGAAGACTAAACCGCCCCCCTTTAATTTTTTCCCAAACACATAAAATAGACCTATTTTTTCAAGATGAAATGCAAACACTTTGTTTTCCTTCTTTCTTCTTTCTACCCACAATCTTGCTGCTGTAGATTGTAAATTTCCACAATGTGGGACAAATAATGGATATCTTATAGCAGAAAAAAACAGTTAACAAGAATTAAATTTGAGTTTTGAAATGCACGTGTTGAAAGATAACTTCCTTTCCCAGTCAAATGTGCTAATATGTCAGAAAAATACAATTTCATTCTCATAAAATGACAAGCTTTTTATCCCAACAGAATCTGCCTTTGCACGCGTCAATATGTTCACTTTCAGCCATTTATTGAACAGGCTAAACAGTCCATTCCAAAATTAGAAACACTTACAAGTCACAAGAAGCACGCCAACCGTGAGTTGAGAACTCGACTAACTATCGAACTCAAGTTGCCATCTTGCTAGATGTTAACAAGTGTTAGCTTGTTCGCATTGTGTCAATTGTTATTGGAAATCGTATCCGGCGCTTTCTCAGCTCAGGTCGCTATCTTGCTCATGTTAGCATCACAAATGTTAGCCTGTCAGACCACTGGGCACCTGTTGAGAAAGCCTGATCGATCTGCCTCTGTGTTATTTTGTACTCAGGAGACGATCTTATTGTACGTCACCGACTGTTCGCATCTTCGCAAGAGTTGTTCAAAATAGGAGCGCAGTCTAAGACTTTTTTTTTTGGGGTTGAAGCCAAAGTTTCAAATCGTCCCATTCGTAATAGGTTATTATAAGTGTAGGTGTCCGACTTGCAACAACTAGCGGGCTATCTCAAAAGTTTCCACAGGGGGGTTTTCTCACTTAGACAAGCCTGCGACTTCCCTTTATTTGAATTCATTTCAATGCGGCAAATGGATTTGATATCCAAGTAAAAGTGAGTTGCGCGCTTGTGTGTGAACTCAGGCTGGTGTGTCTCTTCCTGAAACGAGGCGCGGACTACAATGCCAGAGACAAAAATCAGAAGGACCCCATAACGATCGCCGTGGACAACGCCAACGCCGACATCGTCACTTTGTGAGCGCCATGTAAAAAGATGCCCAATGAGCCCAAAACCGAAAGCTTGACCGACGCTCTTTTCATCCCCCAGACTGCGGCTCGCCAAGATGAACAGGGAGATGCAAGAGATGGACGGATCCCTCGGCAAATCAGGTCTCTCCAAGGGGCAGACGGCCGGGAGCGCTGGGACAGGGACTGGGCAGGGCCAAACTAGGAAGAACCTCCAGGCTTTAAAGCACCAAATAAGTGGATGGGCTCTGGGGGGACCAAATGAATAGTTCACTTCAGTCTGAAAGGAATGCCCCCCCACACAAACACAGTTTTTTTCGGGAGGGGGGGGGGGTTCTCCAAATTGAAAACACTGGTTTTACAGTGTCACTTTTTGGGGGGTTTCTACCATGCAGAATTATACTGCTGGGAATCTCATTTGAGACGCGGGTGGGTGCTGATGCCTTCATTGGAAAAGCACGAAAGTCCAATTTTCGGTTCAGAATCAATGAGGAACACGGTCTGGTCTTTCGTGTCCATGATTGATTCTGTCACTTAGCACATATGGCACTTTGAAACACCCCCAAATGTCAAAACACTGTGAAAATGGAGTCGATGTTGAGCTGAGAGCGCACACATGGAGGCCAACGCATGCTCATGTCCTGTTTGCATTGTGTTTTTGCTATTCGGGCTTGCTTCTTGTACATTGCTTTCATTGTTTGTGTGTTTGTCTTTGCTTATTTAAAAAAAAAAAAAACAAAGACCCTGCTGGTCAGCATTTTGACTTTGTCTTTGTGTGTCTTTACACTCCTGAGACATGGAGCTGGTCTCGCCAGCTTGTGCAGTGTGCCACCTGCCGCAAACTTCCAGGTAAAGTCCATTGCGCATGCGTCCTGCTTCAAGGCCAACAGAAAATCCACTTAAAAGGGGTTCTTTGCAAGATAAAAACGTATCCTCTTTGCATTTACATAGCATTCGGTGAACGTTTTAACAGTCTAAACCAGCGGTCCCCAAACTTTTTCCTGTGAGGGCCGCATAAGCTTTGCTTCTGTGATGGGGGGGAGGGGGGGCGGGGTCAGTCTGGAACAGAAAAAGGGTGACCGCAAGAGTACGGAAATGTAAAAATGGATTGTTTTCCAGAAACCCACACAAAATGAAGCCGCCTCTTGACAGATGAGACTGACAGACGTTTCTTTGCGCTGAAAGAAACAAAAACAAAAACAAAAACATCGTTTGTCCACTTTGGTTTAAATACCCCGCATTCTATTTTTCTCTTACCGAACCTTTTCGCCATGATCCCGTTCTCTGAGAGAGGGGCCGGTTTCGGATTTTTTTTTTCTGGCGTTGCCAGATAACGGCACAGAAAGATGCACCAAATGTCACCTTATTGTATCTGTGTTTATGAAATAGTTACTAATTAATAGTTAATAATGAAAACGGTTCAGAACTAAGGAACATTTTATTGCAAAAGCCCAACTTTATGATCAAAGACAAATCCACATCGATGAAAAATAAATCAAAATACTCTGTGGTATTTTCAGGGGGCCGGACCAAATGCGGAGGCGGGCCGGATCCGGCCCGCGGGCCGTAGTTTGGGGACAGCTGGTCTAAACGGTCGTTTGTTTGTTTGGGTTTTCTTTTAAGTCTAAACAGCTGTTTTATTGGCGTTTTTCTTACCGATGGCGTCGACGTTCTTCGGGCGGGCAACACGCTCTTCTTCGGCGCTCATCACGAGTCGCTAGCGCTATCTGGTGGACGAACCAATCATTGCACCACACATTTGGGTTAATTTTTTTTAATCCTCCATGTTTGCCTCTTTTGTGTCTCACAGGTGACGAAACCTACCAGCACATCTTCAGAGACTTCTCGCACATGGCCTCCAACAACCCGGAGAAGCTCAAGCGTCGCAGCGCAGACGCCAAATTCTGAAAAAAAGAAAAGAAAAATGCTGCTTTTAAAAATGCTTCCTTTTGCCCTGACCGGTATTGCTATGAATAATTCTATTGAAAGTGTTGAAAGGTTTTCAACTGATATTTCAGTTTTTTCCATGGAAGGCATGTCAAGGTTTTCTGTTATGTTAAATGCGAGTCCTTGCGAAGTGGAGCGAAAAGTACTTCCGGTAGTTTACGGAGCGACGTCACGCTGCACAAGAAGGCACACGTGTTACTTCGTCACCACTTTATATTTATGACCTAGAAATGATCCAAATATTTACTATAAGTCATGAAATTTGCTCAAGCGTATGTTAGCATTTAGATGCGCAGATGTGCACCTGAATGATTGTCATCCATCCATCCATCCATTTTCTAACGAGCTTCTCTTCACAAGGGTCGCGGGCGTGCTGGCGTCCGTCACTGGTGCGGAAAATTCAGAAAATTAAGAAAGCCCGCTATAGCAATAGCGCTGTAAACGGACCACAGTAGCCACGGCTGATTTGTTAGCATGATTTATTCATATTAAAGTGTCACTAAAACACTGAATTCATCATTTTCAAGGTTTTTTTTAGTTTACAATCTGTTAAAAAAAAAAATTCAAAAGAGGTGATCGATACTCTTCATCAGAAACATCGCTATTTCTGCATCGCTTCTGAATCCTCTCGGCATCCTACGGTCGGTCCCTTTGCTCTGCTTTCGTTTGCTTGTCTTATGCTCAGGTGTCAGCGAGCAAGGGATCGACAATTTGTTTTTCTATTTTCCCGAAGGACATATTTCAAAATAGTACCAGTTAAGTTCATGAAACCCAACCAAACGAGTCAGTGCGAGAGCGCAGGGTCGCACGGGTGCCGAGGCAGAACAATCCAAGTAATCAAGTCCCCACCAGTCCGATGTTTATTTTGGTCTGCAAAAGTACAAATATAGTTATTGTCCCGGAATGAAACGGCACTTGTATAACGATAGTCTTGTATTCCTGAGTGTATGGGACACGCGAAAGCACTTTTTTTTTTTTTTTTGCATTATCATTACTTTTGATCTCCAATAAAGTGTCTATTTTCACAGCAGTTGACAGTGTGTTACCATCTTCCAGACATTCACATTTTGCATTGACTGACCCTTACAAGAACACTCCATTTCAGCGACCATGTGCAAACGTGATCATCAAATAACACAAAATCATAAGCCCGCCTCACAAAATGTTTGGGATGAAATCACACTTTGGAAAATGCAACAACCTTGACCCCAAAAACAAAACAAAACAAACAAAAAAAAAAAACACCTTCCAGGCGACCTTCTCTCAACTTGTCAATACACCAAGTCCAATAAATATTCCTGAATTTTTGTGAGTGGCGTAGGCACGTCAGTGATTGGCGTCGTCCGGCAACTCATTCATCTTCTCTGTCTCTGAGCTGAGATGTTGCGTCTCGGCCACTGGCACCGTTGGTGCCGCTGCCAGCGGCCTCGGCGGCGGATCCGTGCGCGAGAAATAGTGCGGCAGAGTGGCCATGGTGAGCGTGCTGAGGATGAGGAAGCAGCCTGACACCACGAAGGAGGCCATGTAGTCCCCCGTGATGTCCCGGAGCAGCCCTGGAAGCACCAAAAAAAGCCACAGTTGGAGGGGGAGGGAAAAAAAGAGGCGCTCTGGGCAAAATATCTCTGGTCAATATTTGACAACCGCAGTGTTTAGTTTAGTCTTGTTTTTAAATTTAGGTCATGACATGTCAGGCTGACAGTGGGTGTATAATAATTGGACACGTTTACATTTTAGAGAGAGAGAGAGAGAGAGAGAGACGCTGACAGTGGGTGTATAATAATTGGACACATTTACATTTCGGAGAGAGAGAGAGAGCTACACATGCAGCTCTGTCATTGTTTGACGTCAGTGTCACGACGCCATTGTTGTGCTTCATGTAGTTACATGTTATGTCCAGCAGAGGGCTTTCTAATTTGAGTACTGTGGGGAAAAGGCAAAGAGGGGATCCGGCGTTGAGCTGTGGGGACGCGCGGTTCTCTTACCGCGTCCGACACTATGGTTCTTGTCTGTGGGTTTGTTTCTAAGTGCTTCACGTAGTCTTCAAAAGAATCAACAGACGCAAGCGGATTAGCCACAACCTGGATGAAGACGGCAGATGCGCGTAAGCCACGAACAGAAGGCTTATGGTTATTCAAGAATTTGGGGGCTAAAAATAAATAAATAAAATACGAATTTAAAAAAATTAATCATCATCAAAATTTCTCGAAACGCATTTTGAATGGCCGTCCATTCCATGCAGACTTTTGCTATTTGCAGGCAAGCCCGGTCCCTATGTCCACGATACACGGCATATTTTCAGCTACCGCGGGCTGGTCTGCACAAAAAGTATCCCGCCACCGCATTCTCACGCGCGCTCCGGCTCCTACCCGACAGAGGAGATCCCAGCAGTCCCGCGCAGCTTTCGATAAGCTGCAGCAGCCCGAGCGCCCCCATCACGCGCTCGACGCCGACCACCGTCGGCACCACGGTGAAGGCCAGCGAGGTCAGCGCCCCCGAGCAGAAGCCGTAGAGGAGGCCGACGGCCACCAGGGCGGCGTAGGAGCCCCACAGGGTGCTCACGGGCAGCAGCATGATGAACACGCCGGCGAGCGCCGTCCACACGCTCAGCAGGTGGATGAGCCGAAAGTGGCCCAGGTCCGAGAACCAGCCCGAGGCCACGCGCCCCACGATGTCGGTCGCGCCGGCGGCGGACACGACGAAGGCGGCCTGGTACTCGGAGAAGCCGGCGTGTCTGCCGTGGGCCACCAGGTGGACGTAGGGCACGAAGTAGCCCACGTTGAGGAGGGAGAGGGCCAAGGTGTAGGTGAGGTAAGGCCTCTCGCACAGCAGCGAGAGCTCCAAGTAGGAGGCCACTCGCCCAAACACGCCGCCGCATGACCACCTGCTCTCGCTATCCACCTGCGAGACGGCAAAGTCTGGAATTCATTTCATTTGCCTGGAGTGAACCTTGATGGATCCAAGGAAGGCGGGTGAGAACAGATTTCCATTTGCAAAGGGGCCCGCAGACGGCAGAGTCAAAATCAAAGCCGAATGCAATCAAATGCACACCTTTACAACGGACCTGCATGTTCACTGTGCATGTTCGCCCTCCAAAAATGGAGGTGGCGGAGTTGCTGGATTGAGTCGCACCTTCACAAGGTCGTTGGGCTGCTGCCGCCGCCGCGGTCGGATGAGCGCCCCGCACGGCACGATGTTGAGGCTGAGCCCCCCGATGATGAGCAGGGCCCCGCGCCAGGCGTACGTCTCCACCAGGAACTGAAAGAGGGGGTTGAAGGTGAACGAGGCCAGGCCGATGCTGGAGAACGCCAGGCCCAGGGCAAAGCTGCGCCGCTGGGTGAAGCTCGCCAGGACGGTGGCCACCATGGGCGTGAAGACCAGGCCCCAGCCCAACCCTGGAGCGCACACACACACACACACACACACACACACACACACACACACACACACACACACACACACACACACACGCACACAGAAAATCACGCGGTAGGCTTCCCAATTCATTCTGGTGCGTCCGTCATCATCAAGGAATACGAGTGAGACCGTTCCGTCGGCAGCCGTGCAAGCGCCAAGCCCTGACGTGACCTTCGCTCATTTGAGCTTTGTATCGGGAGCACACTTTGGCATTTGCCATCCATTTAGTTGCGCTTCACCTCATCGCCCCTTCAAACTTTTTGTGGCTCATCTGCATCCCTTGCAAAAATCCAATGCGACCTTCTGATTGCTTGCGCATCTTGTGGCCGTGGCCTGGATATTTCTTCTTCCCACCTCTGTCTTGACGATGTCACTCATTGCGGTCGCAGAGCAGCCAATTCTGAGATCTACAAAGCCGTTTTTCTCTGGTGATCGATGGAAAATTGGATTCGAAGACGCTTCGTCATGCAGCGAGAAACCGACGCGAGACCCAACAAATGACTTTGTTTGTCCAAGATTCTTCTTTGGGTCCGAAACCCGCAGCGTGCAACAAAAACTGTCGGAACGGACCCTGCCGCTGCAACCCTTTTGGAGGGGACTCCATTCGAGCCTTTCGGCGACTCCCCGCGGAGCCGAGCGCAAGGGCCTACCTGAAAGGAGGCCCATTGTGAGGTAGAGGTGAAGCAGGCAGGTGGCCCGCGAGGCCAGGATGAGGCCGAGCCCGGCCAAGCAGCCTCCCGCCATCACCACCGGCCGCGCGTCGTACGCGTTGGACAAGGCGGCACCCAGGGGGCCTGCCGCACAACACAGGGAGCACTTCAGCCGCGCCCAACGGAGCGTCCGACGGGCCGGAGCCGCAAACTCACTGAAGAATTGTTGCGCCGCCAGGCCGATGGAGGAAATCCACGAGATGGCTTGAGCGCTCTCCTCAAAGTACTGCACCAACTCCACGAAAAAGATGCCCATGCCGCGCATGAGCCCGAACACCAGGCCGGTGCTGACGAAAAGGGCCCCGACCAGCACCCAGCCCCAGCCTCCGTCGGGGCCCGGGGCTTGGCCGCCGCGACGCCTCTCCGCTCCGGCTCCGACGCTGGCCATGGCTGTGCGATCTGGAGAATGAAAGTGTGTCAAGAAGAGGTCACGGGTGCATAATTATTAACTTGCTTTGGGCCAGTGTGACGAGGCCCCTCAACACATCGCTGGGTTAATGATGAACAACTTCAACTGCAGAACAATCCGGCACCGACAGGCGCCACTGCATTCGCTGACATGAAATTGAGGGAAAATTTGCATTATTAAAAAAAAATAATAATTAAAAAAAAAATCTGTCTTGCTGATGCACCTTCAGTGGTTTATTAATCGAGACACACACAGAAATACACCATGAACGCACTCCCAAGGAGCAGGACCAGATGCGAGCTCGTAACTGAACTCACGCGGTAAATGGCCACATGTGCCATATTCACCCGTGGCCACAAAATGGTAGATGGGCAATGATTCACTAATTGATGATCAGACGAAGCCATAAATATTGTGGATAATCAATTTAGCATTTAAAGACCTTAATTTAAAATGGTCTATGTCCATGTATTTGTTCTCTGATGTACGTCTTCCGCCAGAAAAGCAGACTGCCCTGAGGTGGCCCATTTTATTTCGAACACGAACGACAATAAGGATGAAGAAAATAAGTGCTATAAGAAACACTTTGAAAAGCAAACATGACAAAAATGAAATTCGTTCACAAAAAGTGCGAAGAAAAAGTTATCAACAGATTAACAGAATATCCAATTAATCATTAGTAAGAGAGTGGGTACACCAATAACGTGTGGAAGAAATCCTCACTAAGACCTAAATTACATTTAAGTGCACGTTACGCCTCTTTCGTTGCCACAATTTACCATTTTGTGGGCCCATTCTGCTTGCTTTGTCGCCACCAATAGTAGCTCGTGCGCTAACCATTTTCAGGCCGCAAATGAAATCTATTTCGTGGCCACAACTGAGGATTTTGTGGCAAACATTTTTTGCATAAATGCATGAAAAATGTCTGGGGCTATGTAGGGGTGGGGGGAGTCATCCCGATTATGATCACCCAAAGTTAGAGGGACAAGAAATGTTCCAAACAAAATGACTATTTTAGGTGGGCTGTGATACAAGAGGAGACCCACCTGCTGAAGGAGAAGTGCACTGCAAAACGTGGCTTCAATGGAGCTGAAACTGAAGGACACAAATACATATATTTTTGTTTTTAAACAGGATTTCCAAGCTGTTACATCATTATTAACAACAATAAAACGATTGAAGTGAATACAAAATATATTTATTAAAAAAAGAAAAAGAAATTGGGGGGGACTTGAATTGATGACGCTTTACGCCAACGCAGCAGGTCGAACCATAAAACACGAACTGGTCTACGCAAATAACGCAGGACTGACGTGGCGCATGCGCACTTGGCGACTAACTGAATTGCCCGAAAACCGAGAGAAATATGAGAGTGAAAACAAAATGCAACACGCCGTCTACTTTTCAAATGACACCCTCTTGATGGGATATGACGAAATAAATATAATTCTCGTCACGGAGCGTTAGCGGCAGTTATACAATGTACGTAAAAATGCGTTCCGCTTTCGAAGAACCTGTCAAATAACAACGGTAATCTATCAAGCAACGCATACCGTTTGGACTTCGAACCTTCTCTGGAGTACAACACCGGTCATGTTCTCATTCACCCCTTTCGAACTTGATGAAGTCGAACCAAATTGCCGACCCGGCCGGTGCCTCTGGACTCGTGCCTCGGTGTGTGCGTGTGCGCGCGTGCTGAAAAGTTCTGCGTTTTAAATGGAACCCGAACGCACCAACGGGTGAGTGGGACGCCACGCCAGATAACTTTTTTTGTTGTTGTTGTTCTGGCAACGTAGTTTACACCATTTTCAAATAATGTCGCACATCGATTCTACTAAAACGCTATTGAGTCAATAATTTGTTCACAGAAAAATGACTGCAGCGTTTTTGCAAGTGGACAATAAGGCTTCAAAGTTGATTTCCTGACGCGGCTGTCCCGATGTGACCGAGGATCGACAATGTCAGGGCGTATCCCGCCGCTTGCTCAAAGTCACCTGGGGACACGCGACAGCTCACTCAAGTTGACCGCGCGGTCGTTGCAGGGCTGCTGTCCCGCAACTTTCCGCCGCCCCCCTCCTCCGATACACCTGATTCAAATGATCAGCTGATCAGCAAGCTCGGCGGGAGCCCGAGAACGATCCTGGTCATTTGAAGAGGGAGACATGGAAAACATGCGGGACGGCGACCCTCCGGGACCGGAGTTGCCCATCCATGCCCTAATGGAATCGTGAGTGCTCAATACACACACGCACACGCACACACGAGCCCCCCCCCCCCGACCAGAACCTCCGCTGTTTGTCTGCGGTGCTCCTACCCATAATTCATGTGGCTGCTGAAAGTGAGGACGACGGAGGGTGAGAGAGAGTTCATCAGACGTAGTTGCCCACCCCAAAAAGATAATTGGAAAGCCCCTACCCCCGCCCTCAGGAAACCGTGGCAGCAATGTGAGGGTCAAGCAGGAAACAGGTGCCAGACAGGTTTTCATTGTTTCCACGTGGCAAGGAGAGAGAGAGAGAGGGGGGGGGGGATACTCAATTCCCCTCTATCACACAACTAATGTCATTTTTTTTTGGGGGGGGGGCGGGATTAGCCGATATTATAGTTCAAAAGATTTCAATTTGAAAATACACAAATAAAATGCCATTTTTGTTGAAAAAAAAGATGCAAACCTTTTGATTTGAAAAATATAATTTCTCCGTTGGGGAAAAAAAAAACCAAAACATTTTCCCCTAAATAGTCTTGACTCTTTTGTTGTTTCAAAAATGTGTCCCTCTTGAAAAGAATGTCTTTGGTGTCCATTGAGTCGACGGCGAAGAAGTTGTGTGAATACGCTCGTTGCACGTATGCATGACGCACATTGTCACTTCTGTCCTCCCCTCCAAAAAAAAGAAGAGAGCGAGACGTGATATCAAGGCTTGGATTTAATTCAAATAACACAAAGCATCTTTGTCCAGCAAATGAACCAGCTAATTCTTGACCGTTTCTTGACAAAAGGTGAACATGTTCCCGCCTATTTTTCAGCAAAAGTCCTTTGCCCCGCTTGGACTTTTTCAAATGTGTCCCCATGCCAAAGTTCTTTCAAAGAACGTGCGAGGCGCCAGGCCTCTCGCGTGCCCGGTCCGATAAAAATGCGTGAGCGCGAAGCAAGCAACGTTTCCGAGCGCTCTTGAAGTGAACCGAATGAGTTCCGACATCAAACTCTTCATTCAAACGTCCTTCAATCGTTCAAACGTCGGAGAGTGAACCCTCGCGAGTCGCGGTCCTTCTAAGGCAGGGGTCCCCAACCGCCGGTCCGCGGGCCGGGACCGGTCCGCCGGGCAT